AATGTCTTTTACGTAATGCATAAGTGATATGCTAGGCCTATCTTTTGAGTTGCTTAATGAGTTTAACTTTGGGGATTTTGAGGTGCTTGCATACCGTTATGTATTATTCTCACAAAGAAACAAAACCCTCAAGTGCAATTTTGCACTGGTCCTCAAACCATAATATGATCTGTGTTGAAAAAATGAATTTTTGACATATTTCTATGTCCATCTGCTGTGTGGTTGGGGCTCACGTGGAATTTTCCCATACTTGGCTTCAAAGCATCCCTTGTTGGTAATTATATGTACCCATTTGATATTTTCCCTATAACTTCAGCTGAGTGGAGGATTTCCATCCTTTCTGCCTACTGCAGATAAAAAGCCATCTTTTCTCTTGGTCTTTGAGACAGGTGTTTGCTTGAAAATACATGTGTTGGAAAAGTATGCTTAACAAATACAGGGCGATTTCAATGTCACACACAAGTGCCTGGTCTTCAACTGGGACCAAGTCTGCAACAAATCTGATGATCCTTGTAGGTTATATTCACTCTTCATATGATCTGCTGAAACTGATTCTCCGGTTCCAGATTAGTTGCTTAAGGCCTTTGAATGTGACAATAGAAGTTTGCCCATCGGCAACGGCTCAATTTATTGGGTTATCAGTCAGAATGTAATTAGAAAAGAGACATTTGATCAAGCAATATTCTCTCACCATTAATCCTGCATCTTTGACTTCTTGGCTCATTTACTATGCCCTGCATAAAATATTATCCATGAACATTATGTTTATGCTTTTGAGCTTGAAGTGTTGTAAAGTTAAATTGTACGGGAACTAAGCATACTCTGGAGTATCATCCTTGGTGTTGGACATGAGTGCATTTTGTAAACTTGAACCATTGAGCATATGGGCGGACTTGCCCGCCTGAGGTCTAGTTCAATCGTAAATCTCATATTGTGCATTGATTTAGTGGCTCATCTACAAGAATGTGGGCATTTTTGCCTTCTTCAATATCAATTAAGGGATACAAAGTAGAAGCCAGGCACGTGCCCGGCTTTGTGCCCAGATTTTTTTGGCAGTAAATTCAAATTCTGGGCCCGGACTTTCGCCCAGAAAATCGAAATTTACTGCAAAAATAATTCCTGGCACATGCCCCGATTCTACTTTGTATCCCACAAGTCATGCAAGCTTCTACTCTTCTAATCCCTGATAGGAGCCTGGAAGCTTTTGGATTGGTTTGTCCAGGTTGGTCAAAGCAGATCTATCTCCTGAAGAACCAAGGCAAGTCAGAGGACAAAATCAGATTTGAAAGGGCAAAAGACAAAGCAATATTTACAAATTGCTAGTTCTTTTTGAAAGTTGAGAATCAGCTAAACAGTTGAAACCTTTTCCTTCAAATCATATAGATGTCTTGTTATTTGAGTATATTCCTCTTGCAACTTGCAGCCGACAGCAGTATGGATGTTAACTGGATGATAAACAAAAATCGGTGATGTGAGACAAAAGGAAGCTCACATGATTCCTGTAATTCCTCTTGGTCTGTCAACTCATTATGAACATTTACATCTCCCTTTGGGTCAAAATCCAACATATTTCTTGTTGAAATGGGGAAGATGAGATCATGAATGATGTGCAGCATATGAGATACTACATATGCGTTAAAAGTACACTCACAATTCAAAAAGGACTGGTGAAATGAGATCAGTAAGATGAAATATTTAGTACATTTAATGAGCCTTGTCCCTAGTAAAGGAAAGATGAAGATGAGATTTTGAGAGATCAGAGGTCTCTGTAACATCTGTGAGGGGATTGAGAGTAGGGCAACAAGATGATAGAAATGAAATGTACCATCAAGGCTTTTGAAATGTCAATCTTGTAATATAATCATGTTTCACCTGATCTCAATTAAGCCCCATCTCTACTCCTTCCAGACCAATCAACCTTCCTGTTCAGGATAGAGCATCAGCTCAATTATGAGATACATTATTCTTTTATTTTAATTCTGCATCACCAGTTTAAATACCTTGAGATTGTCTTCTAAAACTACAAATGTACATACACAGCTGCTTTTGTCAGAATGTTCGGACACTTTTCCAAAGGTGGCTTGTGCCCGGACTCAACCTGTATGTTCAAAAGTGACTTGATTGTGGTAAACTTCTTCTTGGCTATGATTGTTGGAATAACCATGCATAGAATACGCATGCACCAACAGATGAGAAGTTTAGTTGGTTCAACTCACACAAGTCACAAGGAATCAAACATTTCTGTGACTTGAACAATGAGTTTAAGATACAGAATTTTGAGGACTCCCCGGATATTAGTCTTGATCCTTCATCAGGATAATCTCCATTATACACCAACTATTTAAATGCAACCCCATGTGGAACCAGTATTCCCCCACCTGAATATTTCATCTTTGTCTCCAGATCAGCAATTAGAGTCAGAAAACTCACCTCCATACAAAAGCTTCCAGAATTTGGCTTCTGTACATCAGTCAATGCAAGACTGATGCATTGATTTGCCAGTTGTCTACTCAGAATATCGTTGATCCCTGGGATTTTTCCTCCCAAGATTCAACTCCCACCTTGCAAAAACAGAATCCAGATGTTGTGGGAAGGTGTAAAAGGGTTGTAGCATACAGACACAAGGACCACCAGATCCCCCCCTCAATGTCAAGGGGGGTTGACAGCCTCACAAATGTGTTGCAAATGTGTCCAATCCTATCTGCCTTTGTGTGTCCTAGGCTTAGGCAGTGCTTAGGCAAAAATTCTACAATCAGAAGCCTGACACTACACGAAAGATAATATTTTCTGGGCAGAAAATTAAATTATTGATACACAAAAATATTGAGAGGCCAGGAGAAGGGCAAAAAATAAATAAAAATATGCATC